CAGAAAAAAACCACCAGGCTGGACAAGAAACCAAATAATGGAGAAAAAGCAGAAACCAACAACAGGTACACAATATAGCAAAGTCAAAGCAGTATATATTAGTGATATCCATACAAGTAAATGGGCTCAATTCACCTATCAAAGAAACAGGTTGACAGAATACATCAAGAAATAGGATCCCAGAGTATGTTGTATACAAGAAATACATCTGACTCAAAAAGAAACTCAGATTAAAAGTCAAAGCATGGAATAGAGTTTCCATGCACCAGGAACCCTGGAAAGAGCAGGGGTAGCTATTCTGTTTGCAGACAAAATGAAGTTCAAACATATAATGATTAAAAGCGATAATGAAGGCCACTACAAACTTTTACATGGATAACTACAAAAGGAAGAACTAACAATTATAAATATATATGCACCAAATACAGGAGGACCCAACTATGTTACACAAATACTAATGGACATGAAAAGCTAACACCCAAGAACACAATTGTAATAGAAGACTTTAACACCCCACTGTCACAAAGAGATAGATCAACTTAGACAAAAGTCAGCAAAGAAATAACATAACTGAATCATACCTGTGCATGAATAGACTTAGTGCATGTTTACATAGTATTCCACCCAACCATATCAGAACATATATTCTTCTCAGCTGCACATGGGACATTCTACAAAATAGACCATATATTATCCCATAAAATATTTTTAAGTAAATGCAAATGGAGCGAAATTATCTCATGCATATTATGGGACCATAGTACACTAAAACTGGAAATCAATGGCAAAAATCCCTAAAAAACCTGCACAAATACATGGAAATTAAATAACAATCCTGAACAACCAGTGGGTTACAGATGAAATTAAACAAGAAATAAAACAATGTCTATAATACAATGAAAATGCAGAAACAACATACCACAACCTATGGGACACAATGAAAGCAATCCTAAGAGGGAAATATATAGTAATAAGTAGTCACATCAAGAAAATGGAATGAACACAAGTAAATAACCTAATGCTATATCTCAAGCTTCTAGAAAAGTAAGAGCAAGTCAAACCCAAAGTTCATAGAATAGTGGAAATTATAAAGATTAGAGCAGAAATTAATGAAATTGAAACCAAAGAAATTACAAATTAATGAATCAAAGAGCTGTTTTTTTGAGAAAATAAAATTGATAAACCTCTAGCCAAGCTTATCAATAAAAAAACAATCCACACAATATGGACTGAAAAGAGAGAAATTACTGTAGATCCCATGGAAATTCAAAACATCATGAACACCTACCTTGAAAATCTCTACTCACATAGGGTTCAAAATAGAGGAAATAGATTCATAGAAATATGAACTATCGATGCTCAATCAAAAAGATATAACAATTTTGAGTAACCAAATATCAGCCACATTAATCAAAAATGTGATTAAAAACTTACCAACAATAAAAGCCCATATCCCACTGGATTCAGGGCTGAATTCCATAAGAAATTCAGAGATCTGACTGTAACACTCCTTAAACTCTTCAATGAAATTGAAAGAGAATTAGTCCTCCCTAACTCACGCTTAGAAGCAAGTGTCATTCTCATTCCAAAGCCAGAGAGAAATCAAACCAAATAGCAGAATTATAGACTAATCTCACTAATGAACAATGATGCAAAGATTCTTGATACAATATAGGCAAATAGAATGCAACAAATCATGAAGAAGGTTATACAACATAATCAAGTAGGATTTATTCCAGGAATGCAGGGATGGTTCAACATGCACAAATCAATGAATGTGATACACCACATCAACAGAGCCAAAAATAAAAATCGCCTAATCATTGCAATGCATGCATAAAAAGCTTTTGATAACATACAACAACTGTTCATGATAAAAACCCTACAGTAACTCAGAATAGACGCTATGTACCTCAAAGTCTAAAGACCATTTATTGCAATCCTACAGCCAATGGTATTCTAAGTAGACAAAAACTGAAAACCTTCACACTAAAATCGGGAACAAGACACTGATGTCCCCTGTCACCTCTCCTAGTCAATATAGTTCTGGAAATATTAACCAGAGCAATCAGACAAGAGGGAGAAATAAAAGGAATAAAAATAGGGAAAGAAGTTAAATTATCATTATTTGCCGACAACATGATATGCTACATAGAAGACCCCAAAATCTCAATTGAAACACTACTAGAGGCAACAAACAAATACAGCAGCATAGCTGGATAGAAAGTCAACACTCACAAATCAATAACATCCCTGCACACACACACAAAAAAAAAAACTCCATGAGAGAAAAGTTATGAAAATATCAGCTTTCACCATAGCATCTAAAAAATGAAATACTTAGGAATCAACCTAACTAAAAATGTAAAACACCTGTATGCTGAAAATTATACTACTCTGAAAATGGAGATTCAAGAGGATATTGGAAAATGGAAGGATATGTCTTGCTCTTGGTTAGGAAGAGCCAATATTGTGAAAATGGCCATACTTCCAAAACTGTTATACAGATTCAATGCAATCCCAATCAAAATATCATTAACATACCTTCATATCTAGAGAAAGTAATTCTGAAATTCATCTGGTAACCAAATAAATCTAGAATAACAAAAGCATTTCTGGGAAACAACAGAGAGACAAGACTCATCTCAATTCCTGACTTGAAACTATACTACAAAGCCACAATAATAAAATCAGCATGGTACTGGCAAAGAAATAGACCTGAGGATCAATGGAACAGATTAGAAGATGCAAACACTACTACAAAGACACGGAGCCACCTTAAGTTTGCCAAAGGGGCTAAATATGTTCACTGGAAAAAGATAGCCTCTTTAATAAATGGTGTTAGAAAAATTGACATTACATGCTAAAGACTGAAACTAGACCCATACCTATCACCATACACTAAACTAAAGTCAAAGTGTTTCAAGGATCTTAATATTAAAAAAGAAACAAAAATCTACTGGAGGACATGGTAGATAGAAATCTTGGAGACATAGGAGTAGGCAGAGAATTCATTAATAAAACACAATCACATAGAAAATACTTCAAAGAATCAACAACTGGGATCTCATATTACTAAAAAGTTTTGGACTTAAACAGAAATCAAATAAAGTGAAAAAAAAAAACCCCACAGAGACAGAAAGAATCTGGACAGACGACAAAGGACTTATATGCAGAACATATAAAATGAAATTATATAAATTTCAATATAAAATTGAAAAATGTCAAGCCCACAAATTCAAAGACCCTTTCCAAAAATGGGCATCAGAAGTAAGTACACAGTTCTCAGATGAAGATATGAAAATGGCAAATAAATGCATAAAGAAATGTTCACCAATATTGGCCATTTGATAAATGCAAATTAAGATAGCCCTGAGATTGCATCTTACTCTGGAAAGAATGACTGACATCAAGAAATCAACTGAAACAAATTTTGGCAACATGAAGGGGAAAAGGAACACTTGTCCACTGTTGGTGTGGGAATGCAGACTGATAAAAGCACTGTGCAAATTAGTGTGGAAATTCCTCAAAAAACTAAGATTGGATTTTCCATTCAATCCAGTTATTGCCCTTCTGGGTATTTTCGCAGAAAATTTGAAAAAAATTATTTCACAGTGACATATGTGCAACACAGTTGTGATAGCTAAATCTTGGAAACAACCAAAATGCCATCAACCACAAGTGGATGAAAAAATTGTATTTTTTCACAATGGAATACCACTCAGCTATAGAAAAGATTGAGGCCTTTATAAGTAAAACACCTGTATGCTGAGAATATATTTGAATATTCAAGAATATGCTTGAGAATATCCTCTCTCATTGTCTCCCTAGTGTAAAAAAATAATAAAACTGACAAAGAATTGGGATCCAAAAAAGTATAGTATATATTGTAAAAGCAAAAGCAAAGAAACGGGCTCTAAATGATATAATGATACATATAGTGTGTAAGATAGATGACCATATTACTAAATTTCTGTTAGATCACTGAACAGAAGGGTTTGCACGTCAATGATTCAGTATTTAGCTACTTTTTATGCTTTGTTTTGTAACTTTAACAACTGTTTTTAAGATGACAATATGTAATGTATCAACTAGTAATTTTAGGAGTTAAGTTTTTTGAATTCTATATTCTACACTTTTTTGCTTTTTTGTATTTTGTTTTCTTTTAATTTTATTTTCTATGTTTAAATTAAAATTTTTTTAAAATATAAAACAAAAAGAAATGGACATGGAGTTTTGTGTCCTTGATGCCTTGTGTCAGGACCTGCTCATGCAGTGGTGGGAATACTTGGGATCCACCTGGCTCTGGGTGACCATTAGCTGCACTGTGGCATGACTTGTGGTATTATTCTTTACATTTATTGTTGTCATGGTCTGTGTGTGCATGAATCCACCCTATACATCACTTATAATAAGCACACTTTCCCTGATCTTTGAGATGGTGGAATGTGAGAAACCACTGCACACTGCTTCAACACCAAAAGGTATGATGACCTATGGAATCTGACCCAACCGATTAGCATGGACATAGTTATATAAGCATGAGTTATATAAGCATAGTTATATAAGCATAGTTATGTAAGCATGAGTTAACATAGACAGCCATGGATGTGCTCAGGCTTGTGACACTATGCAAGCATGTAATGCTTCATGATGGCTCATATATACAGGCTGGATAATAAAGATGCTTGCTTACTGCTGTTGCTAATGTTGGCTACATGTGGTTTCTTCTCTCTGGGAATCATACCCACTAAGATACCAATTCACCTTCCCTAACTCTGAGAAAATTTCATGCTTCAGACACAGGGCATTTTAATGTCCCACAAAACTAAAGTCTCTGTGCCTTGTTCCAAGCCATGTATCATATCCTAAAGCCAAAATCTCTGTTGGCATACAGCTTTAGAAAGGACAACAAGTTATATACCTGTGCCATGGTGATCACTTCCTAAGCCCTGTGATAGACCTTTTCACCACTTCCATTCCTCTTCTGTACCCCACAGGGCATGAAAGATCTCAAATGTTCTGACCTGGACCTGGAACGCAGCTCCCCAAGCAGCAGACATGTAGTTCTTGAACAGACTGCCCGGATCATGGTCTGAGGTGAGTCAGTCCCAAGCTGGAGGCTGAGGACAATAGTGTCTGTTGGCCCCACTCTCACACAGTGGAGCTACTTACTAGAATATCTTAGCCTCACTTGATTCCTGAACCCATGTGGACTCACTTTTCCTATGTGTCTTGATGTATTAAAACCAGGCACAGCACTAATGTGTGGCAGGGGGATCCCTTCCCCAGCACAAGCCCTGCTGAAGGTGACTCTTGCCAAGTACTCTTCAAGCCATCTGTTCTTAACATGTGGCATCATGTTGTACCTGAGTGCCATGAGGGAGAGCACACAACAAGGGCAGGAGCAGGTGCTATGGTTCCCATAGATTTGGGCAGCCCTTCTCTGATGTGTGTGGACCCCAGTGTCTTTCAAGATATTGGGATGTCCCTCTTGAATGAGCTATGGAGATCCATGCCTGGGGGTATTGGGTCAGGGTGGCATTTGGACACTTGCTGTGTTGGGTAGCCACATTGAACAACACAGGGTGTGTACCACTACCACATGCCCAGGACATCCTCTCACACTGTCTTTGTCATTCCCCTACAAACCTTTGTCTACATAGGGCCCCCATTGTCCACTCCAATCTTTCTTGGACCTTTGAATGGAATCACAGGAGGAGGCAGTGTATGTGAAGCTGCCCAAAGTCAAGTGTCACTGTTGTCTGCTGTCACCCAAAATGTATGGTGGGTGGAGGCTGCAGATTTAGCTCAGTGGCATAAGCACCTGCCTTGCAAGTGTGCAGTCATGAGTTCAATACCTGATACCGATAAACAAATGAAAAAGAAAAGACAAAAAAAAAGGTATGGTAGGTAACAAAATCAGGTGTCCCTCAATGAGTAACTCAGGGCCTTTTTCTACTGTTATTGCATCTTTCATTCCCTCATTCCTCAGGCACCCCTCCCTCCTCCTGCTATATTCCATTCTCCTTGTAAGAGTACAAAGCTGGGCTTGTGCTATCCCTGGCTGGTCTAGGGGATGCTTTGTGCCATCCCATTCTGTCTGAGAATCCTGTTCCCACAAGTATTTCTGATTGGTTATCACCTAGGACAAGCTGGTTCCAATCTGTGTTGCACTTGGTCCAGGGCTTAGGACTAAAGAGCCCCTAATTTTAGCTCTCAGCTCTAGAAGTTCTCCTCAGAACATGGTGCTCAGAATTGAGGTCTCAAGGTCAGTCTGGAAATCCCTATCTGTAGATCATCTAAGGAGCTAGCTTAATCTGTGGGTTACCATGTGATTTATGAATATCTGGATATGTGGGGAGACAAATGCAAATGCTTCTGTCTGGCACAATCCAAGCAGAAACAGTAACTTTGAAATGGCTCCTGTGGGATGGGCAGAATTGGATCTGGCTAGGGAACAAAGGCTATGTGCACCACACATTGAAGCAGGGCCCTGAGATCTGGACCACACATTGGAAGGAAGGGAAATAAGGATGCCCCAGCCCAACTGTGTCTGGGCATTAATTCTTCCCAACTCATCCGTCTCTGTTATCATCCATCTGTGTTCTGTCCCAAACCAAATGACTGTGTTATAACTCCTGGCAGTGTCATCACCCTGCTATTTGTATGTCTCTGGGTCATTCAAGAGTGGAGAGTACCTGGAAAGGAGATGGCCCAAGGCTCACCTGTGCATAATATGGCTCTGTATCAGTGACTGACCCTCGGGTAAGATGGTCATGGCCACTTCATTTCTTTTTTGTCTGGTCAGCTAGTTGCCAGGCACCACTGTGTCCTCACCTTCCTGCCATTGGCTCCAGAGGCAAACACCTAGGTTTCTGGTCTTTGTGTTCGTGAGTCTTTAGTCTAGTGTGGTGGGGTGGGGCAGGAATATTTGTAATCAGCAATGGGGTAGCTGAGTTTTGAGTGGCCACAGAGTGGGGCAAAAACCGAATATATTTCCTCCCCCACCACTTTGATGTGGGGCCTTTGTGTATAAAGCAGGTTTCATTCCAGTTAGCTGTCACTTTTTACTACATCTTTCTATCTCAAGACCATTTACTGGAAAGCTGTGTGTATGTGACACAGTATGTCACATATAAAACTATGCTGATAAAACTATGTTGAAGGCCCTGCTGAGCATCTCCACCCAGACAGCTGGGCAGCAGCTCAGCCTTTGAAATGTAGTGAGAGAGGCAAGGGAGGAAGGTGGAGGAAGACAAGAGTCTTTCTCCAACGCTGTGGTTACAGAGGGGCCAGGGCACCTCCAGCTGTCACTGTTACACCCACTTCTGAGCCTGTATCCTGAGGCCAGAGAGAAGACAGCAGTTTTGATCACATTGATAGAAATCAGGGGTCTAAGCAGAGTTACAAATACAGGACTTGGGAGCCAGACTGAGGGTTCCTACAGAAGGTTTGCCTGTGTTTGGTTTTCACCTTCTGTCCTTGACTCAGTCATCACCAGCTATTGACAGTGTGAGTTTCATTGTCTTCCCAAGTGTGATCTACATCTGAGGAGCTCTGGTACCCAGCACACAGTGAGTCCTCTATGTGTCTCTGTTAGGTTGTGCATAGAGAAAAATATAAAAGTGCATGTTCCTATGGTAGGAAGATGAGCCCCAGAAATTCCATTAGCAAGGACATAGATTGAGGACAACTGATGCTTTGCTCCACAGATTTGCATTTGCACAAAGGAACCATTGCTGGCCAAAGAGAGCATGTCTTTCCTGTGTGAGATTTTTCATCAATAGCTCTTTTTTTCCCCAAATGTCAGAAGTGGATTTTCCTGCTTTGTGTTTTGTTTACAGATTACTGGACATTTTTTCTTACTACCTATTTACAGTGTAGACTGATTATGTTGGTGTTAGGACCAGGGCACACGTGATGCATAGAATGCATATTAGGCCCTATCTTTTGCACAGTGGTACAACCCAACCACCAGTGATTGCTCTCAAAGTTTTGTGCATTGAGGATACAGCTCAGGGCCAAGAGATTGCCAGCATAAGGATGTGCTTTGTCTTGATTGTCCTTTCTTTATGACAAATACAGTGGGTAATGATGCAATAATTGGGAGCTTACTCCAACCCTAACCCTAAGTTTAACCTACCCCTAAACCTAACTCTAACCCAAGATAGTCACTACCAACATTCCTGGCCAAATAAAACTTTATGGCATTGATGTGGGAAATGTAATATAGGTTAAGTATGAGGACATACAATCAGTGGTGGCTGGGATGGGGCAAGAGGGGAAAGAAAACAAAACACCATTGTGTAAAAATTTGAAGAATATGTTCTGGAAGTGGACTTGGGAAAATTTGCTCAACATTGAGAATGCAGTGAATGCCAGCAAGCTGATTATTTTAAACAACACTAAAATCTTAAATTTTATCTATATTTGTTCTATCACTAATCTATCTCTGGTAAATAAGTGTAGCTGTGAAAACAATAGTAAGTAAATCTGGAAGAGAGGGGAATGGCAGGTGTGGGTCAAGAGCTGCCCGCAGTTAGAGCTCGAGATATGACTCCTAAGTGGAGCCACCAGGAAGCTCAGAACTTCAGCTGCTGGACAAAGGAACCCAGGTACTGGCTCTTGCTCTGGGATTACAGCTGGTTAGGGAGCTGCAGGTAGAGCTGGCACAAGGTCTGCAGGTGCAACTTCTGCATGGGCTGAGCCTGGCCCTGTAGTTGCAGGAAATGAAAAAATTGCCAACTTTCCATGGACTTCCTGGGCAAAACCTTCCTACTGCCTGTCAGAGGCAGCCATGTGCACCAACACAACCCCAGGAAAGCCTCCTGACTGCATCCCCACAAAGACTGCTGAGTGTGTCATACTCCTGGGTCACCCAGCATCTGGGCACTTTGCTGAGTTCCAAGGCCATCACCTCCCCACAACCCTACATTCTACACTCCAAGGATAGTTACCCTGTGGCTCAGTCTCTGGGGCTCCAGCTGGTCCAGGAGAAGCTCAGCCTGGGGATCCACATGGGCATATACTTCCAATGTGGCCTCAAGCACAGAAGAACTGGGGCAGACAGCGAACCAGCAGAGTGAGAGACCTGGGCTTTCCTCCCACAATGCCTGCACATCTCACTTGTAAAGAGGGTTTCATGGACCTCCTGCCCAGTTGATTCAGTGTCCAGCCCCATCCTCACCCACCCACAATTGGGCAGTGAGGGCCCAAGGAGCCCTTAGTGGCTGAAAGAAGTCTCATTGGGAGGGAGAACTTGCTTAGTTTTATCATACATCTACATTCTTCAGGGAATCCTGACACAGTATCTCCCTGCCCCTCCCCAGTGAAAGTCACTTGGAGAAGGTAGAGACTGCAATCTGCCCTGTCCTTGTACTCAAAAGCTCAGGGCTGCCACTCCATGAATATCTGAGAAGTGAGGGATCAATCAGTGTCTGTCCTGCATCTCTGCAGTCTCTAGCTCAGGCAGTGATGCAGTGCCCAATTCTCTTTGCCCCTGTATAACTCTTTGTGCATGGTTTGTACCCACAACTAGGGAGGCCTGGGGACTGGAACAATGGATTTGGGGTGAGCAATATCTGTTCTGCTGCCAAGGGTTATTCTGTGGCCTCCCACAAACATCAAAACTCAAAAGGGCAGTGGTTCCACTGGCTCTGCTTACAGAATCTTGGTTAATACCCAGAAACGTGCTTGCACACAGTGTGTCTTCATATACGATTGTGGGTTGGTAACACATATCTGCTCTTCCTATCTGTCTGACAGCCATGGACAAATTGCCATTCTCAAGATTTCCTGTCATGGAGTGACTCTCCTGTCTGCTTTCTGATGAACAGAACTGCATCCACCAAGTGTTGGTCACTGGGTGGGATGGAAGATCATCCATCAGAATTATCACAGCCTATACGGCAGGTGTTCATCGGGCCAAGGCCACAGCTAACTGCTTGGCATGGAGCCCCCATTTCATCCTCAGTGACCCTAAGCTCTCAATCCACTCATTCCCAACCTGTTTGGCACTGTAAACTAGGGTTGAGTGAGGCCCTTGCATAGGGCCAGGACCTGAATCCACAGGTGACCAATTCCCACTGGGCTGCTTA